TCCTATCTAGAGAGTCCCCTTGCTTTCTGCTTCTTAAGAGCTGCTTTGCTCTAAAATGAATTTCCCAGGAACTGGGACCTGGGCCCCAGGGAACTAATTTTAAAGCCACAAAGCTGACCCTCTTGGAGTTCACTATAATCTCAGATTGAAAATATAGCCTGCCAGTGCATCAGGGGGCTAGGAGGCTCTGTTTGACTCAAGGGATCTAAGGAGACCCCAGAAATCCCAGAATACACTTGACACATGGTAGATTTTATCTACATTCACTTCCCATTATATCCTTGGTGATTTGGGGACAGGTCACTCTTTTAAGTGCTCTGAAGGCTGCAGTGCTGGTTTTAAGCAGGTGTGGTATTTATACAAAGCCTGAGGTTGGAAGTAAAGCACACCTGCCCTTGAATCCAAACTCCCTCACTGCTAGCTTGTGACTTGGGCACATCACTCCACCAACCTGAGCTTCAGTTGTTATTTTTAATGCAAATGGTTATTCCAACATCATAGCATGGTTAGAATGGTTGTGAGGTTTACATAAGTCATCCAATAAAAGGAACAAAGTGTCTTCTAAATATTACAACAGTTGTCACTTACTCAGGGCTTAATACCCTGAACTAGTCTATTTGATTTACAACTTAGACTTATCTAACCAATTTCAAAACAACACCATGAAGCAATCACTATTAATATCCTCCTTGTCCATTGAGAAACCTCTTACCCAGGTTCCTTTTCTAGCCCCTGCTTGCAGGTGATGGCTGGAATTTACCAGGGTCTTTCTGGCTCCAGAACTTGGGCTCCACCACAGACCTACCCCTGATGCTTTCTGGCATGCTCACAGTCTGCAATATAAATAAGCTTTCCCTTCCTGCCACCAGCAGGGGCTTTTCTCCAGTTGTGCTGCAGGTGGGTCCAGGCACAAGGTCCCCACACTTTCTGGCCTGCACTGAGCACCTGCTCCTGACATGGGCTTTGCCCTACCTGAACCTGGGAGCCTGATTCTGGGGGTTGAGCCTGGGAGGTCCCTAAGACTTCCTGCTCCTGCCCTCTGGGTCACAAGCCCACTCCTCTCAGAAGTTTGCAGGCAGCCCCATCTTGCCGGATGAGCCAGCCAGATTCAAGATCACATTTGCCACAAGCCTCCACACCTTGAAGTTACTTTGCAGTTTCTTCCTTATTAGATGGTTGGAAGATGTCCTCCATAGTCTCTCCTGCCCAGGTTCTCTCAGTCCCCAGGTGTTAGGGGTTAAATTTGAACTTTACAGAGAAATACAAGGTGTGGTCCTCCATCAAACCCCAATGGGAAAAGCAACTATTGCCAAGGATGTTGGGAACAATTTGGGAAATTTGAATGTGGACTGACAATTAGGAATATTAATGTACATTACACGTGTTAAGTGGATTATATTGGGAAATGTACTGATTTTATAAAGGGATGCATAGTGTCACATTTAGTACTGAAATTATCTTTGTTAATTTACTTTAGGAAATTTCAGCAAAAACTAACAAAGCAAATATGACAAAAGGTTAAGGAAGGTTTTTTAAATCAAGGGCATGGCTGGCTATATATATGGATGTTCATTTTACCATTTTCTATTTTCTATGTTTTTCAAATTTTTGTAGTACAAAAAAAAGGGGGATTCTCTCTCCATCAATGGCCTTTTTTTTGAAGTTCTGTTGTTGTTGTTGTTGTTTGTTTGTTTCAAAGCTGTCCAGAGAAGTCAAGATACAAGTATCTCTTGGGAATAAGGTTGTGAAATGTAAATAAGACACTTGAATATGGAGCACAACAGTACTATAAAGTACCTGTGACCAACAGATTTTATCCCAGGAAAGGAAGAAAAAAAAAGTAAATTTCAAAAATACGTAATATACAAAAGTACACACAATGCAAAATAAGAAAATGGTTATCAAGCAAATCACACAACTCCCAGAGATGATCCTGCTTAAACCTTACAGTGAGTATCTTGTTGATTTTGTTTTTTAACCAAATTAGGGACATACAAGCATAGTATTACAGGAACATCTTTTTTGCTGAATTTACATATACTGAGCATGTATCTGGTCACCATTATTTCACAATACCAATGATTTCTTCTATGACAGTGATTTTTTAAAATTGGATCCTACTCATAAGGGGAAATAAGGAATACAGTCTTCAACAAGTTAGTGAAATCTGTATAAACACACGCGTGAAGCTTTACTCTTCCTAGGAAACACTCGTCCCCACCCCACCCAATACCATTTATGACCTGGCCCTTGCCAGCGCCTTTCTCAGCCTCCTCCTAGTCCAGCGAAGCGAGTGTGGACTCGGAGACCCTGGGCCAGCAGAGGGGGCGGTGGGCGGGGCTCTGCAGGTGGTGACCAGCTCGCTCAGCTCCTCCCCAGCCCCACCGCAGACGCTCTCTCAGTGCGTCCTGCAGCCTCGCTTCCTGGGCTCCCTGGCGTTTGGGGTGCCCGCCGAAGTTCTGAGTGTCGGCGCATGCTACCGCCTTGCTCCCCCGAGTCCAGGGGCGTCCTTCCGCCTAGCTCTTCCCCAACGGCCTTGGCGGCGCGGGTCTGGGCGTGTCCTCCCGCCTCAATAGGTGGGGTCTGGGGACGTTTTCCCTCCGCCAGGTCCCGGGCCAACGTGAATGGAGTCTGGGTTTACTCCAGTTGGGAAAGGAATATTCTACGTTGGATGGTTCCCGAGGGTCATGGATATGTCCCCTTAATCAAACTGAGTTTTTTATCTTTGCGAAAATGGACCCTGATCGGTGTCCTGTGGTCTCTTTTGGGGAAGGTAAAAAAAAAAAAAAAAGTTATTTTCCATAAACGATGTAATTGATTTATTAATAATCAAATACCCTTCTTTTTCATTAAATGCAGCTTTCTGGGGGGCTCTTGGCTCAGTTGGTAAAGCCTGTGCCTTTGGCTCAAGTCATGATCTCAGGGTTCTGGGATTGGGGGTGGGGGCAGCTCAGCAGGGAGCCTACTTGTCCCTTTCCCTCTGCCCTATCCCCAGCTCTCTCTCTCAAATAAATAAATAAAATCTTTAAAATAAATAAATATTTTTTTCAACTAGCATCTTCTTTCACGAAGACAGAAGCATTTTTTTAAATTTAAATTCAATTAGCCAACATATAGTAAGTAGTACATCATTAGTGTCAGATGTAGTGTTCAATAATTTATCAGTTGCATATAACAAATAAATAAATGCAGCTTTCTGTATAAAAATCCTTGAACTTGTAAATGCAAAAGCTAAACGTGACAGTATAAGAAATGGTCAACCCAACTACATTTATTTGTTTTGTAGTGTGCTTTGCAACTTGATATTTTATTGCCCCTATGCTCTGCAATGAACAAGATTGTTATTTTTTAAACACTTGAGTTACATCTGTTTATCTTTTGAATGAATGTAAATATATATAAATGTTTCTTTTAAAAATGTAAATACATGCTCAATTTGACCAAAATACAGCAGTGAGGCTACTGAAAGCTATCTTCCTCCTCTCTAACTCATCTTCCAAATAAAACTTGATGCTTAACTCTAGACTTTATGCTAAAACTAACAATGCATTTTTCAAAAAATGTGGTTACTGCTTATTTACAACTTGTTTTTACACTATCTCCTGATCCAGTTATCTGGTCAGGCTTTGTAGAACTAAATCATTCTTTTCTGCATTGTAAGGGGCATATCATGTTTATTTAATCAATCTCTTTGTGACTGATGTTCAGTTTGTCTCCAGTTTTCACTATTATAAATAATACATAGCAAACATCATCGTCCATACATCTTTTGCATATATATGTGATTATTTCTTTGCCACAAATGCCTAAGTGGTAGATTACCCAGTTAAAATGTGTACATGTTAAATATTTGATAAATGCAAATAAGTAGTCTTCAGAAAGTCTATACCAGCTTACACTGTTTCATCACATCTATTTTAACACCAGATACCATGCATTTTTGAAAACTGATTATTAATGATGCTTAAGAAATTAGAAATGTCTTAAAGGAAGGAAAGTGGGTGAAACACACATTCATTCAACAAACATTTATTGAAAACCTGTGGAGTGACAGACCTCATTCTAGATGCTGGGATAATAAGCAATAAAAATTTCCACTCTTCTGCAGTTTATGATCAGGGTTGCTGTGGTCAATTAAGAAACAATGGAATACTTAAGGAGATCTAATAAAAAAAACCTGGGCAGGGTTGGTGAGTCCAGTCATCTGTGACTAGTGACCGTAGGCAGACATTATCACCACAAGAACTGCCATGGAGGCAGGAAGTATTACTACAACCTGGGAGAAAAGACTACACCAGAGGGAGCTGTGGCCTTACGAAGAGGAACATTATAATGGCCAACTCATGGCTCAGCATAACCAGTCAAAGGTATAAACACCCAAACTTCATTTGCTTTCCACCTTCTCATCTCTTATCCCTAATGTGCATTTACGTCCCCCTTCTCTGTGTCATTCTTAGAAGTGCATCCACATAGTCTCCTCCAGAGCTCCTTGTTAATTTTCCAGTTATATTTTTTTCCTAGCCCTGGAATACCAGTCAACTCACTGAGCCATTGGTCATGAATCCGTATGACTTTTTTTTTTTAAAGGTTTTACTTAGGGGCGCCTGGGTGGCTCAGTCGGTTGAGTGTCTGCCTTCGGCTCAGATCATGATCCCAGGGTCCTGGGATAGAGCCCCACATCAGGCTCCTTGCTCAGCGGGAAGCCTGCTTCTCCCTCTCCCTCTCTCTCTGCCTGCTGCTACTCCTGCTTGTGCTCTCTGTCTCAAATAAATAAATTTTTAAAAAATCTTAAAAAAAGATTTATTTATTTGTCAGAGAGAGAGAGCACAAGCAGAGGAAGCGGCAGGCAGGGGGAGAAGCAGGCTTCCTGCTGAGCAGGGAGCCCAACGCGGGACTCAATTCCAGGACCCTAGGATCATGACTTGAGCCAAAGGCTGACATCCAAATGACTGAGCCACCCAGGTGTCCCTGAATCAGTATGACTCAATAGGTGTCCTTCTGTGCTTGCTTTGGCAGCACATACACTAAAATTGGAACAATACACAAGAAGATTAGCACTGCCCCTATGCAAGCATGACACGAAAATTCATGAAACATTCCATATGTAAAACAAAAACAAAAACAACATGTGTCTCCTTCCATACAAAGTGGACTACCAAATACACTTCTCGAAACTGCCCATAAGGAGAATTTTTCTGTGCCAGAGTCTTTCAGGGTCACCCATGAATGGGGCTATGATACAGCAGCCATTCACTTCCAGATGATGTTACCACACCTTGCAGACATATTTATAACCCAAGGAGGGTGCTTTTCCCTCCTCTGGAAATGTCAAATGTTCATAGTGGACTTCCCATGGGGCTCTAAGGTGCATGGAGGGTCATGTGTTGAGGCAGTAGGAATATGTACCATGTGAGTGTGAACCACTTGCTTGTACAGTTTGCTTGTACCTCTGGTTTTACATCTACCATTCCATTTAACAAAGGAATATCCTTGCACACATCCAATATTTTGATTCAGTGAAATAAATTATCATGTTCATGATAGATATTTTGGGTCACGTAGTCTCTTGATATCCCATGTTTAAGGAGTTTAGTCTCTATGGGGACCCAGTAGCAAATCAGAAGCTGCTTTTCAAATGGAGGATAGTTATCATGAAGTTAAGGCATACCTTAATCCAAAACCCTGGGAACCTAAGCTATATTGAGTCTTCCAATCTATGAATATGGAACGAATCTCCATTTATTTAGGTCTTTGGTATTTTAATCAGCATTTTGAATTTTTTGTCATACAGATCCTGCATATATTTTGTGAGATTTGTTTTAATTTTTTGGAGCAATTGTAAATAGTACTACATTTAAAATTTTCATTTCCAATTTTTTTTTTGCTAATTTATAGAAGTTTATGATTGATATTTGTGTGTTGACCTTGTATTCTATGATCCTGCTAAACTCACTTAATAGTTCTAGGAATGTTTGGTAGATTCCTTGGGATTTTCTGTGTAGACAATCATATACTCTGCAAATAAGGATAGATTTGTTTCTTCCTTTCCAATCTATATGCCTTTTGTTTTGTTTTGTTCTCTTGCATTATTTAAATGGCCAGGATCTAGTACTATGTAAATTGTTTTAGAGAGAGTGGACACTCATGTCTGGGTCTTAATTTTAGGGGGAAAAACATTAAGGCTCCAGTTATTAAGTGTGCTGTTAGCTTTAGTAATTTTGTGGTTCTTTATCAGATTGAGGAAGTTTCCTTTTATGTATAGTTTGCTGGGAGTTGTTATTATGAATGGATGTTGGATCTGGTCAAGTGCTTTTTCTGCATCAATTGATCTGCTTTTTCTTCTTTAGCCTGTCAAAATTGTAGATTACACTGATTGATTTTCATATATTGAGCCAGCCTTGCGTTTGTGATATAAACCATACCTGGTTGTAGTAATCTTTCTACATATTTATGGATACGATTTACTTATATACTTAAACTTGTATGTTTTGTTCATAAGGACAATTGGACTGTAGTTTTTTTTTATACTGTCTTTGTTTGACTTTGATATTGGCCTTATAAAATAAGCTGGGGCACCTTGTTGGCTCAACTGGTTGAGTGTCTGCTCTCAGCTCGGGTCATGATCTCATGGGTCCTGGGACTGAGTCCCGCGTCGGGCTCCCTGCTCTGTGGGGAGTCTGCTCCTCCCTCTCTCTCTCCCTCTGTGCTCTTTCTCTCTCTCTCAAATACATAAATAAAATCTTAAAAAAAATAAGCTGGGAAGTGTTCCCTCTACTTTTGTTTTCTGGAAGAGTTTGTGTTGAATTGGTGCTATTTCATCTTTTCCCTCCCAGCTCTGAGAATACATATACATTGTAAAATAATCATCACAAATCAAGTTAAGATATCCATCACCTCACATAGTTACCATTTTCCCTTTCTTTCTTCCTTTTCCCTTTCTTTCTTTCTTTCTTTCTTTCTTTCTTTCTTTCTTTCTTTTTCTTTCTTTCTTTCTTTCTTCTTTCTTTCTTCTTATTTCTTCCTTTCTTTCTTCTTTCTTCTTTATTTCTCTTTCTTTCTTTCTTTCTTTCTTTCTTCTTTCTTCTTTCTGTGGCAAGAACACTTAAAATTTACTCTCATATCAAATTTTAAGTACACAGTACACTATTGTTAGCTATAGTCACATTGTTGTACATTAGATCTCCACAACTCATTCATCTTGAATAACTGAAACTATGTACCCCTTAATGTCTGCAGGTTCTATAGTTAGAATTCCTCTTTTATTCCTGATGTTGGTAAATTGCATCTTCCCTTTATATTTGTCAATCTTGCTAGAAGTTTATCAATTTTATTTATCTTTTCAAAAAACCAAAACTTTTAGTTTGATTTTCTCTTTTGTTTTTGTGGTTTTAATTTTATTGACTCCTGCTCTTATTGTTATCATTCTCTTTCTTCTTCTGGCTTTCTGTTTATTTTGCCCTTCTTTTTCTGTTTTCTTGTGGTGGAAGCTTAGATTGTGGATTTGAGATTTTTCTTTTCTAATATAAACTTTTACTTATTCTGACAATAAATTATCAGAGATCTAAAAATAATAAGAAAAATCATATCCATATTAAAAGTGTTCAGGATTTCATTAGCCAACTATTTGACATTTATGTCAAAGGTGACTGAAAAATAGGTTAAAAAAGGACCTAAATTCATGTGGATAAGTCAATTTGTGTTTTAAGATTCTACATTATTTGTTGAAGAAAGGGATTTTAAAGGATAGGAGAAAGGGGATTAAAATTTTTAAAAATAAAAACTACTTAGAGCAACTGGGTGGCTCATACAGTTAAGTGTCTGACTCTTGATTTCAGCTTAGGTCATGATTTCAGAGTCATGAGATCAAGCCCTGCATCAGGCTCAGCCCTGGGCATGGAGCCTGCTTAAGATTCTCTCTCTCCCTCTCCCTCTGCCCTTCCCCACTCTCTCTCCCTCTAAAAAAATAAAATAATAAAATAAATAAAATAAAATATTTTAAAAATAAATAAAAAATAAAAATAAAAACTGCTTTCAGAGTTATTGGTGGTAAGCAGCCTTAGTTACTTGGAATTTTGGCATATTCAACCATTATTATTCATAATAAAGTCATATTAGAGGCCTTTGTCAGTACATTTTTCATTATTTCCTTATGTAAATTTCACACGATAAATTCCTTTTAAGCTTGAGCACCAATAGAAAATTGGTCATTTTCAAAAGAAGGATAAAGGGGCGCCTGGGTGGCTCAGTCGTTAAGCGTCTGCCTTCGGCTCAGGTCATGATCCCAGAGTCCTGGGATTGAGCCCTGCATCGGGCTCCTTGCTCCGCGGGAAGCCTGCTTCTCCCTCTCCCACTCCCCCTGCTTGTGTTCCCTCTCTCGCTGTGTCTCTGTCAAATAAATAAAAAATCTTTAAAAAAATAAAAAATAAAAGAAGGATAAGCTTCCTTTAATCAAGGATTTTGAATTATCCTTTGATTCTCAATTACAGAGATTATAAGAATTTCTTAATGAGCATATTTCTATTTCATTTTAAAAGATTATTTTCATTTCTTATTTTAATCTCTATTCCTTGTAAACTATGGACTCACCAAGCCTCTGATTGAAAAAAATTTTACAAAAACATCAGTAAGAAGGAATCAATCTTTTGTTCACAGTCATGTGGCCAGAATTTTATATTTTTGTTTTAACTGCATGCATATTTATTTTTATTATGTGTCATTATGAAATGTCAATGCCATTATAGGAATTTTAAATTCAGGATGCCTGGGTGACTCCATTGGTTAAGCATCTCCCTTCAGCTCAGGTCATGATCCCAGAGCCCTGGGACCTAATTCTGCATCAGGCTCCTTGCTCGGCAAGGAGCCTGCTTCTCCCTCTGTTTGCCACTCCCCCTGCTCATGCTTTCTCTCTTTCTCTTTCTGACAAATAAATAAATAAAATCTTTTTTAAAAAGAAAGTTTAAAGTCAAAAGCACATCTCATTCTTACATACTTGTCCCAAAAGTCTAGCTGAAGTTTTTCCTTTACTGTAATTACCATCCTTGAACTTGTAGGATGGATGGCTTAAATCAGTCATTGACTCAATATGAGAATTCTATCTTCTGTTTGGATAACCTATGAACACATGTGATGCCACTTCACCCATGAAGGAACAATGCAGAGAACACCACACTGATTGTTCTGAGAAGAATGGACATTAGGAGATGACGAATGGAAAGAGGGATAGGATTCTGGGAATATGACAACAGTGACAACAAAGTTGTTTAATTGCTCTGAATTGCCATGTAAAAAAAGGTAGAGCAACTAGATGTCAAAACGAGACTAAATATTAAACATCAGAAACAAATTTACAAAAATAAAAAGATGATAAAGATATCCCCACAAGTCCCAAAATATGGGTTGTGTTGTGGAGACAAACCCCCTGCCTACTAGTAGTCTAGTAGTGAGAGAAGCAATTGGAGAACAGCAGCTCTAAAAGGAGGTTTCTTGTCTCCAGTACCACGTGGCTCTAAGGGGCCTGTGTTAAGATAGATGAAAGGGGATAGAGCAGTATAACTTCTATGAACTCTGAACTAACCTGCCAGGGTTCCCTTTTAGGACAAGGTGCCACACTGAGAAGAAATTGCTTATAGTGGAATCAAAATCAAGCAGGACAAGGACAACAGAGATGATGGAAAGAGAAGATTTACACTAATGTGAAGAAGGAGAATAAAGACAGTGACATTTCAGTAAACAAAGCCACAATATTTTTGAATTCTATACACAAAACAGAAGGTAGTGTTGGAGGGGCTAGGATTCCATACTTCTCTGGAAGTAGGTAGGTCTGGTCTCTCCCTACCTCACAATAGTGTTAATGGGATCAAGTATTGCATTGAGGTTCCCTCCCACACTTTGGTAATGAAACTTCACAAGCCAGTACAAGGTAGAACTAGTTACAGCTAGGCTTCACCTTTCCTGCCACTGTCATCAAGGCCCATTGGGGAGCTGACCTTCCACCTTACCTGACATCAGTGAGGCAGAATAGAGTGGTGCAAGGAGGGGTAGTTGACAATCTGCTTCTCCTGTACCCTCATGTGAGTGGGGCCTAGTGGAGTGCTAACCATCCATCCAC